CTTTTTTTTTTTCTTTTTTCTTGTTGTTATGAAAAATTTCTAACATATACAAAGTAGAGAGGATAGCATAGTGAAGCCTCATATCCACTGCACAGCTTCAACAATAATCAACATTTTGCCTATATTGGACCAACCCATGTGATGCAAAATAGGGTTTCTGAGTTTGCTTTCTAAATCTTTTAAAAGAACGTGTAAATAAATGCTTTAGGACTAGGTCAACATTCTCTGGGAGGGTTTAGGGATGGCATGTCCTCCAGGGCCCATTTACATATATTTTTCAACATCTGACTAACAATCCCTCTTTGAGTTGAGTGATTACCACATCCCAAACCCTGCGCAGTCTCCTGTTGAGTGTATATAATAGAGTCACTGTACTTGTCCTTGGAAAAACAACTTATTTATGTTTAGAACTTCAGAAAATTGTGACTGTGTCTCCATCTGGGGTACAAAGGACCAGTGAGTCCAGTGTGCTGTGGTCCCTGCACTCAATGGCTCCAGATGTGCCAGCCCCAAGACTTATATCAATGCAGAGGATGAGGGGGTGAGAGAGGCTGCAGGTCTGGATCCATTGACTGTGGAAAGAGTATAAACTTTCACTCTGCGGGTGAAAGTTTATACTCTAAGGCAAAACATTAGGCAGTGATGAGTCGTTTCACATTGAATCCAAGCAGTGTCTTGGGAATCACTGTTATTGGTTCAACCATTTAAGAACATGGTGACGTTACTGGGTTTAGCTTTCCTATCATTTCTTTTCTTCCAAGTAACAAGTTTTATTTTCTACTTTTACAACAAGGTCACCAGGTACTAAGTTGTACCCTCTGACAGTGGGAAGATAGTAATATTAATTAAACTATTCTTTGAGAGGAATCTACCAGATCATGCTTATTGAATACAGTTTCACATTAAGCACATGGCTCAATATATATTTGTTAAATGAACAAGGTTGCGTGTCTGCCTTCCAAGTATATTTCTAGCTACTCATATGTTTTAATACTATATTAGTGTGGGTTTTTGTCATGTGAAAAAAAATCTCAGCTAGAACTAGTGTATTCTTTGGGATTCAAAATCCATGTTGATAACCTTTTCAACTCTTTGGCCTCCTTTTCAACTCTCACTTCCTTACCTTGTCTCTGTGACTCCATCTCATTCTACCTCAGGTCCTCTGAGTGTAGCCACAACTTAGTTTTCACTATCAAACTAGAAAAGTTTTCTCTGACCACTACCCACCAGTCTCTCTCTCCTGTTACCTCACTCCTGACCCACTCTTCACCTTTGTGGACACAGACTTTGTGCTCTTTATGCATAATTTCTGTTCCTGGCCTCTCGGGACATCTCAGGCACCTCACAGAGCTCAGGAACAGTTCTTCCCACTGCACTCACAACTGCATCCCAATGACCCTCATCTCCTGAGCTCCTGTCCCATCTGTCCTGCCAATCCCCAGCCCTGGTTAAGGCAACCATCTGTTTCTTCTCCCTATTCTAGGCGGCTGAGTACTTCAGGACAAAGTAGCTTAACCAGGTGGATTGGATGCTCTAAAATGTATTCCAATTTTTCTGGGGATTCAACAAAGCCAGAAATTCCTTTTCTCACCCCTCATCAACTCACTCTTAAAATACACATAGCTGCCATTCCATCTTCAGCACCCCCATTAAAGTTCTATACCTACCTCCCCCCGCTTTTGCTACCAACTTCACCAGAAGCTGGAGATCATCTGGTATGAATACTATAAAAATTTCACTTGTCAAGAATTATTACCCATTCCCTTTCTCTTTCCTCTAGTTTCTAAAGAATTTTCCTGACTTCCTTCTGAAGCCAGTGCTCCCACCTATCTTTTCCCTCTTCCCTCCCCAGGTCCTTGACTTTGCTCCCCCTCCATTTGTCCCCTTTGTCTACTTCCCTTCCATGTTCTCGGACTGCTTCCCTTTTTGTCCCTCCCTTGATACCTACAAACCTTTTCTTTCCTGTTTTAATTCTCTACCTTGATTCTAATTTCTATTCATGGTATTTCTGTCTCCTTCCTGTTCACCCACAGTTTTATCCACTTTTTTCTTCAATCCTCAGCACCATTAGCCTACAGAAAGTGCTAATGCCAAAAACCAACCTTTTCCTAGACCTTCTGCTAAAATTCTGTTTTCAGTAGAATTTGAAAACATTCCCCACCATCTTCTTGCTGGAACTCTGACCTCCCCTGGAGCCCTTGTTACATCCTACTGGCTCTCCTGCCCCATGGATGGCTTTTGTTGAGTTTCTGTCCTGAATCCCTACATGCTACCCCCTTAAAACAAGCCCTTTAAATATAAACTTTCTGAAGATTCGGTGTTCAGTTCTGTCTTAACTCTTGACCGTCCTTTGGTAATCTCCTATCTTACAGCTTGAGCTACCTAGCTGTTCCCTTGCAGTGGTTCTCAGCCTTCTGGCCCTTTAAATACAGTTCCTCATGTTGTGACCCAAACATAAAATTATTTCCGTTGCTACTTCATAACTGTAATGTTGCTACTGTTATGAATCGTAATGTAAATATCTGATATGCAGGATGATCTTAGGCGACCCCTGTGAAAGGGTCGTTCGACCGTCAAAGGGGTCGCGACCCCCAGGTTGAGAACCGCTTCTTTAGCGAATGGCTCACAGCTCTACCTTTACCCTCATCTGTCTTTCCCTAGTCAGACCTGTTCCTAACCATATGCTGAGCCTCCCACACTGATATGTTGCAGACACCTTATACTCTGATCTAAATTAAACTCATCGCTTTCCACTGCTGTGTTTTTGATCTTGGCTAATCAACCCAATGAAGTCTCCTTCCATCCTTATCTTTCAAATCATCTCCTGTTCACTACCCTTCTTCAAATAATTGGCTAATATAACAAATAATAACATGTTAAGAGGAAGGCACAGTGCAAGTGAAAAAATATAAGCAAACACCACAGGAGCTTCTGATTTTAATTAAAAGAAAATGTATGTGAAATGCTTATTATTTGATACAGACTAAGCTCTCAGTAAATGTTACCTAATATTATACAGCAAGTAAAGGGGCTGGAAAAAACAATGTGCTTTTTTCTATGTAGCCTACATAATTTTGTGTGATAGCTGATACTAACTTTGAACTGCATTCAGTTTTAAGTCAGTTGGATATGTATTTTTATGATAATTTCAAGAGCAAGTAACAAAGAGTAAAGCATGTGAGGAGCAGCATGATATAATTAACCACGTGCACTATTGATGAGGACTTGGCTTCCCTCTGTACCACTTGATATTCAGCGAAATAAATAATGGTGATAATTGTCAGATTCCTAACAAAGACATCTGCTAAACCAGACAACTCAGGCAAAGCTGTTTGCTACTGACAGCTTGCTTCAAATGTGAATGTTACCATTAAGAAAAAAATAGAGTTTTCATATTTATCACATTACCTAATCTGTTGTGTTGGCAGTGTTTCATCTGGGGACCCAAAGACCTGATAATTAAATTCAACGTTTAAACTTCTACATTTGCTTAAGGGACCATTAGAAGATCTTTCCCTTTTTTGTTGTTGTTTTAGTGTAAATGCAATATATCTACACAATAAAAATAGAATCCAACAATGAAGAATGGTAGCAACTGAAGAGTAAAAGTCTCATCCATTCTCCCTCCTACCATTCCTCCGCTCTAGAGATTATCTTTTGAATCATTTGCTATGTAAAAATCACATGACAAAATAATAAAAATCAACCAATGCCCCCTTATTTTATATATGGCCTTGAATTTCAGAAAACTCCAATGGAGCATAAAGACTAAGACAGATCATTACATGTTTAGATTTTTCTCTACTTGTCAATATCATCATTGAAAAGGTCTCCATTTCAAAGACCAGAAGAATGGAAAGGCTTACTCTCTTTTTCCTCATCTGATGATCAATCACTAAGAAGTAGCTGAAACAGAAAGGTCCCTCATCCTGGGCTGGAAATTGTTGAGGATCCTACTCTTGCCTTCCTTTGGCCCAGCCCCACCCATGGAGATAACATGCCCACTCAGAGCCTGTGTGCCCTCTACCAGACCATATTTGGGGTGACCTGGATAGAAGAATGAATTTCCAGCTCACGTGGTCCAAGCAACTTCCATGGCTTCTTCCCACCTCTTTCCTCACAAGGATGGGGAGGCCATGGGCAGGGGAACAGGTCCCCTCCTCCTCCTCCTCCTCTTCCTTGCTATTTTCTGGTATGGATGGAACTCTGAAGACTCTGAGAAATCTAAATTCAGCCCTAAGCTTTTAGGTTGTTATGAAGATGTCAAGGGAGGAGGATTTATTTAACAATTTTTTAGCTTGACTTACAGCTTTAAAGTATTGAATTCATTATATTCTTTTAACCGGGGCTGCCTTTAATGTTAGGAGGTGGGCCTGATTTGAAGATAATATCATTGTGAAGCTCACATAGTTACATGCCTTATCATTTGAATTGTGCTTCTAACAGTTCTTTGAAATAAAGGCAAAATAAATCTAACTCTTCAAATCATTAGGGTTTGGTTTTATTTTAAATGAATAACTTTCAATTTCAAATTATTCAGCCCCTCTTTATATCTACAGTTGAAATATTCAGTGAAGGGATATCCTACTAGAGGTAGAACATAAAATGACTTTGTTAATCTTTTTAGAAAATAACGTTCATAGTTTGCACTTCATTTCTAATAGTTATTTATGGACCTCTCTTTTTTTCTTCTATCCACTAATTATCTTTCTTTCAATCAATAATAAGAGTTTTTCAAAACAGAAAATTTTATTTAGACCTACCCTCATTTTACTGAAAAAGAAACTGGCAATACTATGGAAGGGTCACATGATTTTTTTTTTTTAATCGCTGTCGGGATCGCTCTTCTGCCTTTATTTTATTGTTTTTGGACATTTTTGAGTGCCGTGGTTTGGATGGCGCTTTTTGTCTCATTGCTGGGTTTTAAGGTGTGTTTTTTTCCTTCTTCATCCCTCTATGACCACTATGGAATTCTAATTTGAATCATGTTTGGATTGAAGCCGCCTCTGTATTACTTACCAGGTAAGTGAGCTGAGCGCCTCCCCGAGTCCCTCGAGGCGCCGGCAGGTCACATGATTTTTTAAGCCAAGTCATTTAGGAGTTTTGATTCATAAAAGTTTGGCAGGCTGCAATTGGTTGGATTTTCACTTTGTAGTTATTTTTTAAATGAATCCATAGAGATGTAAGGGATGGAAAGATTCATCATTTGAGGAAGGGAGTTGTTTTTCAACAATAATCACATTTATCCAGGGATCATTTCATTGCTTATTCATAGAGGGTTCTATAGGCAGGGTTTGTGTTTTTCTTCCTCATGCTATTCTCCATCACCCTGCTATTCCCACTCTAGCCCTAATATATGACCACGGTTGTTAGGTACTTGTGTGTGCATGCAGGTTTCTCTAGGCAAATACAAGGCCTTATATGACTGCTTTTAAAAAATATATATTTTATTGATTTTAGAGAGGATGGGGGAGGGAGAGAGAGATAGAAACATCAACGATGAGAGAGAATCATTGATTGGCTGCCTCCTGCACGCCCCCTACTGGGGATCAAGCCTGCAACCCAGGCATGTGCCCTTGGTGGGAATCGAACCTGGGACCCCTCAGTCCGCAGGCTGACGCTCCATCCATTGAGCCAAACCAGCTAGGGCATGACTGCTTTTTCACTTAACAGCCTTGCAGATCTTTCCTTATCAGTTCAGAGAGCTTTCTATTCTTTCTTGAAGAGTGCATGGAATTTATTCCATTATATGACTATTCTATAATTTATTTTTATTAATAACTTTGATTTCTTAAGAACTTTATAGTTAAAAAATTGTGAAGACAGTACAGAGAATTTCCCTCTTTTAGTAACATTTTATTTTTAGCATGGTACACATTACAATTATTGAACCAATATTGACACATTATTAATTAAAGTTGATACTTTGTTTGGATTGCTTTAGTTTTACTATTATTAACTAAAGTTTATACTTTGTTCTAATTGCTGTAGTTTTACCATTTTCTGTTCCAGGAGCTCATATTACATTAGTCATCATGTCTCCATAGGCTCCTCTCGGCTGTGACAGTTTCTTAGACTTTCTTTGGTTTTGTTGGCCTTGACAGTTTTAAGGAGTAACTGGTCATGTATTTTGTAAAATGTCCCTGAGTTGAGGTTTATTTTTATACAAATGTATTTTCCACAAAGAAGTCTTTGGATGAATGATAGATTTTTTTTTCTTTTTTTTCTTTTTTTTTTAAAGTGTATTCTAAAGTAAGATATATTTTTTTTTCTTCTTTGTCAAAATTGTTTTTATTTTTTTTAAATTTTTTTATTGCTTAAAGTATTACAAAGGGTATTACATATGTGTCCTTTTTTCCCCCGCCCTTGACAGGCTGCCTCCTGCACGCCCCCTACTGGGGATCAAGCCTGCAACCCAGGCATGTGCCCTTGGTGGGAATCGAACCTGGGACCCCTCAGTCCGCAGGCTGACGCTCCATCCATTGAGCCAAACCAGCTAGGGCATGACTGCTTTTTCACTTAACAGCCTTGCAGATCTTTCCTTATCAGTTCAGAGAGCTTTCTATTCTTTCTTGAAGAGTGCATGGAATTTATTCCATTATATGACTATTCTATAATTTATTTTTATTAATAACTTTGATTTCTTAAGAACTTTATAGTTAAAAAATTGTGAAGACAGTACAGAGAATTTCCCTCTTTTAGTAACATTTTATTTTTAGCATGGTACACATTACAATTATTGAACCAATATTGACACATTATTAATTAAAGTTGATACTTTGTTTGGATTGCTTTAGTTTTACTATTATTAACTAAAGTTTATACTTTGTTCTAATTGCTGTAGTTTTACCATTTTCTGTTCCAGGAGCTCATATTACATTAGTCATCATGTCTCCATAGGCTCCTCTCGGCTGTGACAGTTTCTTAGACTTTCTTTGGTTTTGTTGGCCTTGACAGTTTTAAGGAGTAACTGGTCATGTATTTTGTAAAATGTCCCTGAGTTGAGGTTTATTTTTATACAAATGTATTTTCCACAAAGAAGTCTTTGGATGAATGATAGATTTTTTTTTCTTTTTTTTCTTTTTTTTTTAAAGTGTATTCTAAAGTAAGATATATTTTTTTTTCTTCTTTGTCAAAATTGTTTTTATTTTTTTTAAATTTTTTTATTGCTTAAAGTATTACAAAGGGTATTACATATGTGTCCTTTTTTCCCCCGCCCTTGACAGATTTTTTTTTCTAATCATTTACTATTACCAACAATGCTTCCTCAGTAGCAGCACACCTCACAGGTTGCCTCTGCAATGTTGCGTCAGCCACTTCGCATATCTCAGGTAGAGGAGATAAACTCCCAAGGTGGCATGGCAGGTTAAACGGAAATGCTTTTGTAATTCTGACACTATTGTCAAATTGTCTTCCATAAGGACTGTGCTGGTTTATACTGTATGTACGAGAGTGCCCATTTCTTGACAGCTTTGCCAACAAACTTTCAGAGTTTTGCCTGTCTGATGGGGAAAGTTGGTATCTCAGCATGTTTTTTTAACGTTTATTATAAATGAGGATGGAGTATTTTATACATATTATTGCTTATTGTCAATAGATTTTCTTCCATTATATTTGCTAAGCATCTTTTTCTCGTGAATATAAAAGCTATTGATTTCTGTATAATAATTTCATAAGTTAGATATTTTAGCTGCAGGATGCTTGTCATGCACCCCATGTTCAATCTTGTACTCATATTAAACATATGAGAATTCTAAGACACAAAATTTTAATTTAAAAATAAAACTTTAATTTAAAAAATTAAAAGATAAGGTTGAACATAGATGAAGGTGAAAGAATGTTTTCCTCCTTAGAATTTGGCTGCTATTGGAATTAGTTTTTCTGTCAGTGCTAGGTTGCTAGCACGTAGTCGTCAGATGATCACATTATATCATCGAGCAGTAGAGGCATGTTACATTTCAGGTGAATAATAATACAATTCATGGCATAAAAATCAATAGCATATACTCTAGAGTCAGATTGACTGGACTCAAATTCTAGCTTAACCACTCACTAGCTGTGTGACATTAGGCAAGTTAATTAATGTCTCTGAGTTCTTGGCACCTACTAAGTATAAAAATGTACCACTACTTTACAGTGCTCTTTAAATCTTACCAAGGACTTTCAGTTATATTAGTTCACTTTTACCACCAACAGCACTTGGTATATGACTGCTTCACACTTCATTGTCCCTAAAGTGGACTATGAGATTAGGGGATGTGATACTGTCCTGTACCCATTGCTGGGCCATGTTGTTCTATCATACTACCTCTAAGCACTAATCTGGAAATGTATAAACCATTAGTTCTTTCCTTAACCATTTGTAGGCCATAAGCGTCTATAGACACAAGTGGCGGACCTTTTTTAATTAAATTCAAAATATCGTGGCAGTTAACTGGTTAAATATAAGGGTAATCTTGGGGGCACTTTGTCACATTTCTATTTATCATAAGTAGAATTATGAATAATTATTGATATTGTAGAGTGTTCTCAAACATATGATTCTTAATGAATTCAACTTTGGCCTTCTTTATTGTTTGGGTAGTTTGTGGTTTTTTTTTCAACTTTGGCCTTTTATAGACAATGGCTATTCTTTGGTCAGGAATGTCCTCTTGATTAGCACGGATGTCCCTCAGGAGCGGCTGCGGCCTGGGAGGCTGCCCTGAGATAACACAGGCTTGGGATGCAGAGCCCACTTAATTCATCTTCCTCTTGAAGGCATTTCAAATTTTAACTTTCCCCATAAAGGTATTTTTTTCCGCATTTGAATCTATGCTATGCATTTCTCGACTTCATCACTTAATTAAACAGCAATTCAAAAAACCTTCCAAGGTTGATAAGTTTGATCTTTGGGTTAAAGATAAACATATATGCTTTTCCTCTCTCTGGCTGGGCCTCACTCTTCAGCTAAGACACAGAGCATATGTCTTACATTAGAGAATCTTATCAGGCTCAGAAGATGCACTCCCATTTCCTGCTCATACCACGCTTACGTGCTGCAGAGCTAAATTATAATCATAGCCACTGTGCTATTTTTAAAGTGCAGTTACAGTTGGAGTTCCTGGCTTCCTTCTAAAACCATGACCATACTGCCACTCTCCTCACAGTGTTTCTATGCTGAAATAAGAAACATTTTAGTGCTAACATCCAATAACCCTTGCTACCTTGCTGAGAAGTTTATTTGATAAATAAGATGTACAAGAAGTCTCTTTGAAAACTGAATAACGTGCTTCCATGTCTAAGTTGCATTCACTTGTCTAACTGAGAGATGGGGTGGGGGTGGGTAGTTAATCTGACAAGCTAATAGAAACAAACAAACCTTGTTTTATAATGAAGCAATAACCTTGATGTATCCTTTAAGCCAGGTGAAGCCGAGGTTTGCCATTTATCTGGAAAAAAGGGAGCTTGCAAAGTTGAGTCTGCTTACTTATTGTCGTGGGAGTTGGTGTTGGCTGGTTTTTGTTTGCTTGCTTGAAATATCTGGCTTGCTGATTACAGTGTTTAAATAAGCTAGATAATGCTGTGCCGTGTAGGTTCAGCCGTGACCTGTTGCTGGTTTTCACATGTGAGAGTCTGGGCATAAATCATGCTCAGAAGAGTCCTCCTCCTGGTTTCATAATTCAGCTGAGAGACAGAGTGCTCAAAGGGGAGAGGAGGGAGATTGAAGTCAGACCCAGAACAGAGACCTGCATTTTCGTTATTAATATTTCCATTTGACAGAAATTTTTATCGCTGAGAATATAAATGGGCACAGATAAAAGGATAGGTCAGCCAGCCACAGGATAAATCTCTTTCAACTCAGCCTGGAGAAGTTGTTCTTCATATGTTTCACTCTGATGTTCTTCTTCAGAGCCCTAATTTTGGCATCAGAAGTTGGATCATTTGGGTTCAAACATCTGTTGTTTCTGGATGGCTTTAAAATTCCATCGTGAGCTCAAAAATGCTCAAATTGCAAGGCATGTCATTCTGAGAAGTATCTTTCGGTGTGTGTCTGCCCTGCTCTCTCACGGATCTTCCACGAACACTTCATCTGGGCCTCCAATTTCTGCTCTTTTTCTACGTGGGATAGTAACGTAAAGTGTTTGTTTCTTGCACTTGGATCTCATGGAATGCCTTTCCCTGCTAAGTTTATTCTTTATGTGTTTGGAATGCGCTGGAATGTATGCTAATACTTTTCAAAGTCATCACTTGCTGCTTTTCCTTTTCCTGCTTGCCGTTGCCTGACTGCGCCATACCAATTTCTGTTAGAACATTACAAGTTCTAGCAAGATTTTTTTTTTTGGAGAAAGATAAATGCAATCAAATAACCCTTAAAGGGCAAATGTAGTACAACTCCTTTTTCTGAGAAAGCCTTATAGCTTTTTCCCATTCCGTGAAGCACCCCAACTAAGAGGTATGATTACAGGCAGAAGCTGAGTTAGCACAATAAATATCCTCATGTTGGAAAAAAGTATTTGATGAACAGATATTGAAGAGGGTCAAGTTCTTGCAAGTTCTAGCAAGATTTTTTTTTTTTGGAGAAAGATAAATGCAATCAAATAACCCTTAAAGGGCAAATGTAGTACAACTCCTTTTTCTGAGAAAGCCTTATAGCTTTTTCCCATTCCGTGAAGCACCCCAACTAAGAGGTATGATTACAGGCAGAAGCTGAGTTAGCACAATAAATATCCTCATGTTGGAAAAAAGTATTTGATGAACAGATATTGAAGAGGGTCAAGTTCTTGTGACTTTCCCACCAAGCCACTGAACTCCCTAGCTCTGCGTTCTTCCAAAACTATTGAATACGTCTTAAAGTCAAAATCCAGAGTAGCATTTCAGTGGGGGAGACCACACCATTGCTGATTTGACTGGGATTCAGAGTCATTTAAAAACAGCTGGAGCTAGGACAACCCTTCAAGAGTGAGTCTTGGTGCCCTGGCTGGTTGTTCAGTGGTTAGAGCGTTGGCCCACCGACCCAACAGTGGAGGGTTCCATTCCTGGTCAGGACATGTATCTTCGTTGTAGGCTTCACCCCTGACCCCCATCAGGGTGCGAATGGGAGGCAACCAATCGATGTGTCTCTCTCACTTCGATGTTTCTCTCTCTCCCCATCTGTCTTCCGCTCCATCCTCTCTAAAAAAATCAATGGAAAAAATGTTCTTGGGTGAGGATTAAAAAAAAAGAGTGAATCTTGGCATTGATCTCCCACACGAAGTCAGATATCTAAAGAAAACAGTTTGGGAGATTTTTTTTCTTTTGTACACAAACTTCATGTTTTCTCTCTCAGTTCTCTAATCGTCATAAATTATTGTAGAATGTACTATCCTAAGAATGACAGTTTATTAAATAAGTGATTTATAGCAAAACTAAATAAACCCAGGGAAGGTCTCGGCCTTGGAGGGCCCTCCGGTCTTAGCGGCTAATTCTTGACTTCTCAGTATCCGTGCCATTCCCATGGTAGCAGCCGCTCCTTCAGGGTCAGGGGTGACTGCCATGCGGGCCATTAATCTTGGCTTGGCCCCTCTGACTGCTTTATCTCTAGATGCACATAACATGCTTTAAACCCACTCGGCCACTGACTTCTTGGACTTCCCCCCCTCGGTCTCAGCTCTGCTTCTCACAGGAGTAACTGTGATAGCTGGAAGGCTGCCCATCAGAGTGTGCAGTATGGTTTCCACTTTCCTCCAAGCTCTTTAAAAAAACATCGCACACACATTAAAGGGTTGCTCTTCTTCAGAAATTTACTGTTGGAGCTGAGAGGGTCATATCAGGTTTGCATCCTGCCTGCTTTTGTTATGTGTAAAAATACTGGCTACTGGATCCCGAGTACCTTGCTGGGCTGTTTCATCTTTGTCTTTGGCAGGAATGGCCAGGCACTTGTCACCAGGAGCAGAAGGGTTGAGAGCTTACGCCCCGACGTGAGGCCCACCTGTACTGGGGAGCTGGCTCTGCCACGTCCTAGTAAGTGACAGGTGGCTCTTGTTTAGCCCTGGAAGCTTTGGTTAAATAAGATAATGTGTGTAAACCTCTTGGCATGTGTTTTGTGCAGAGTCCTTGCTCAAAATGCCAGCCAGGGGGAGTTGCATGGATCTGTGCGTGGAACCGAAGGGAGGAGGGCAGCTGCTCCTTGGAGAATCTGACCTTCACAGCTTCTGGAGCAGAAAGACTGTTTCTACAGAAGAGCCCAAGCAAACCTCTGACGTAAGTTATTTACACTGATAGCACATGTTTATGCAAACGAGCCAACAAAATCTACGGGGCGGCTGTTTCTTAACACCGCTCCTAGAATTAATAATTGCTGTTTCAAATCCAAGTGACCACATGCACGGACAGCCCCAGCTCAGGTGGAGCCTGTGAGTCTGTGACGTGGTCAGTGGCTGCACAGTGACCTCAGGCAGCGGCCGGGTGGCCGGGATATCAGACACCTGCTTGGCCTTTGAATCTGGGGCTGGTAAATCTGTCTGGCAAGGAAACTTTTCTAAACCATGGACCCTTAAAGAATGTGGAGAAAGCTATGCCCAGATAAACATGTGTGGTAGGAGGCAGGCGAGAGGGGAGAGAGAAGAGAGACAGAGACTCTGGTAAAGACTCTGAGAGAAAAGAGAAGAAAGAGAAGGAAGAGATGAGCCACGCAGCCAGAGTGGGAGCAAAAACCAGAGAGGCAATAAAATACCGGGCTCTGGATTCAGACATACTTGATTTTAAGTCCTTGCTTTCAAGCTGTGTGATATGGGCAAGTTCCTTAACTTTCCTACGGCTCAGGGTCCTTCTCTCTAAAGAGGCACCACACGAACACCCACTTCAGGAGGCTGCCGTGAGGCTCAAGTGAGAGCGCGCATTGGAAAGCATGGGGCCCAGTGGGCATGTGTTTTCTAACTTTCTCACCTCATGGCACATTGAAGACCCTTCCTCATATATGGCATTTACGTTTATTTATTTACTTAGGTGTTAGTTTTATTAGCAAGAGGCATCCCTGGAACCAAATGCACATGGTCCTGTCAATCTGGAAAAATTCTTATTGCTGTTTTCGTAGGAACAATTGCAGATAAGTGATGCTGGGCAGCTTGTATCTCTTCTAAAGGGCTGGCTATACCATTTAAAAAATATATTGACTAAATGGTTCAAACACCAAAACAGGAGTCACAAGGCATTCATGTATTCATTCGTTTATTCTGAGGTCAGAAAGAAACTCGATTTTTAGCATCTGGTGATTTTAGTCTAGTAAAGATTTCTGAATACAAGGTACAGCCAACAGAAAGTGGGGTCTTCATTTATCCTATTTGCTAGCTAATACCCAGGATGAAATGGGAGAGGGAGAAAGAATGTGGGGAGAGGACTGCCTGTTGACACATCAGCAAGAACTCCGTCACTTCTCACATCTTCCTTCCCCTCTGCTGTGCGATCACCCACGCCTCTGCTGGGATTTGAAGCATGGCCTATTATTTATAGATTGGAATCAGGGTAGGAGGATGAGGCACCAGGTCTACTTTCAGCCTCAGTCTCTAATAACGCTCAAACTCTAAGTAGAGGTTGTGTCCCATTTGCTGCCTTCCCATCACTTCATAGTACGCATAAGGGTCACAGACCTGTTCTCTCCGGCTCCGTCTTCCTCTGGGGCAGATAAAGCTGAGATTGCACCATCACAAGCAGTTCAACCAATCGTTATGTATAAACCGCAGCCCTTTTACAATAAACAGGGAAGCTCACAAGCCTACATTAGTCCCGCCTTGTCTGCGGCATCAGGGCCACAGAGCCCCTCTCTCCTTGGAAGTAAATCTCTGCTCTGGTGGTAAGCAGATGCCCTCCTTCGGGAAAGTATTTCACAAAGATGGAGTGTGCGTGTGATATACAAACATGTGTAATCGCTTTAGAAGGGAACTGTCCACTGCACGCCCGGAAGCTGGAGCACAGGAAGACAGAGTACCACCGTCTCAGGAGAAGCAGTGAGTGCTCCGGCCTGGGATCCTTGATCCCGGCCATGAGTAGCAGAGCCCATGTGAAGAAAAGACCGGCGAGTTTTCCAACCGGACGTGCTATTTTATTTCAGCAGAGCCGACTGCTGGGAAACCCCTGGAGGCCCTGGCAGCTGCGTCTTGTCTTTAGTATGAA